CCTGGTGAAGGGCAGCCTGGGGCATAGACTCCGCGCCCTGAGGGACTCCGGTTTGTGGGTCGTGGTTGTCGTCAGTCGGTGCGTGACCCTGCCATTAGGCCTGCCTGTCCATTCCACAGCTCCTGCCCTGACATTATGCCCCAAGCCATTCACTGGGAAGTACAGTTTACAGCTGTTTCTCTACCCCCACCTCTCTTAGCCCCTTGTGCAGCTGAGAACAGATTGTGTGATCACTCATAAAACAAGAAAAAAAAGTTGTTACATTTTATATACAGTATATATTTAACCTCCCTAGCAGTATGATTATTTCAGATTTTTGGTGCTGTAAGCGGTACCATTTTTTTGCATGGAAATATGTATTTTTTTTTTATTGTAGGCCTGTAATTTAGGAATAACTCACTGGAATCTGTCCGAACAAGAGTCTAGTAAACATTCCGGATATGATAAAACTTAAAACACAAAATCATAAATTATAATTTAATAAATAATCATAAAAAATAAAAATATAATAATAATAAATGTAATTAAATAATATAATCAAACCAAAAACACTGAAATTTGAAATATAGCGCCAAGTTCGCACATCGCTGAGCAAAGTCGCAAAATCGTTTTCAGTGTCTGATGACGAATTTCCCTACGAATCATTATCACTCAATTCTGCAAGTGGTTCTGATTTACTATCACTGTTCTCTAGCTGGTCTAAAAACCGCTTTTGACATAAAGGAACGCTTTTTGGACGCCATGGACTTTTCTAAGTTTCCAGGCAGAAAGAACAGTCAAAATGCAGACAGGGCACAGGACAAAGCAGTAGGGACAAAATGTATGTGAAATGGTTTGAAACAGCAATGTTTTACTATGTAATAATCATTTTTTAAAAAATGACATTTTTTTTAAAATTTCAAATTTGCCGCTGGTTCCCATACGTCCCGACGTCACATGGACTAGAGCACGGAAGCCGGATGCCGGCATCGGCCGGAGGAGATGGCCGGGGACGCATCACGGGAGCGAAGGACAAGGTAAGTGCTGCAGGGACTACCTATGCAACGCTGCATGGTAAGCCCGAGTGTAGCTCGGGGTTACCGCTTTTGGTACTGAAACTTTACCCCGAGCTACACTCGGGAATACCGCCAGGGAGGTTAATCTATTTTAAACGGAATGGGCTGTTTTACAAGGTGGGGGTTCATATTATTCTTTAACGTCTTTTTTTACTTTTAAAAGCAACTTTATTAGAACAAATTGAACAGGAAAACAGAATATAACATTCAAGCACCAGACAATGATGCAAAACATAAAAAAAGGGAGAAGAAGAGGGATAAGTAATAAGGAAAAGGAGGAAAAGAAGACAAGATAAAGACAGAAAACAAATCAAAGCCCCCAGGTAGGGGCATAATAAACATCAACATATATAGCGCATGGTTAACTGGTAACAAAGTTATAAAGCGACAATGTGCAGATACAGGCTTGGGTGTGATGGCATTGCAACAAGAAAAAACAACACAATGCAGGATCAGAACCCTGGGTAGGGTCACACAGTCACAATGAAAGAACAACAAACAGGGTAATGAATTGAGGGCAAAACCCTCACAATATATTGCCCAGCGGGTTGCCCCGAACACTCAGCCAGCTAAGTAGCCGAGGAGGCAAGCCACGTGTCCCAAATCTTGTTGTATTTTGAGGGGTATCCTCTGTGAGCATAAATAAGCTTCTTGTATGGTAGAGTAGAGCTGACCTCCAATAACCATAATTGTAAAGTAGGGATTCTTTAACCTTTTTTTTAATGTATTTGCCATCCAGATCCACCCACACATTCTTCAAGTAGGCAAAGTACATACAAATGTTAAAGTGACAAATAAAAAAAAAATTAAAGCCCGCCCCCCACTACAACATAAACAAACATATATCTAAAAAAAAATGCGCTGGTGCACATACGTTCAAAAAACAGCAATTGCCCTATATATTGTAGGGGATAGGGGAGGCAGGTGTGATGTTCTACAGGGCTTTGATGGGGGGGGGCAGGAGTGATGTTCTGCAGGACTTGGACTAAGGTGACAATAGTGATGTTCTGCAGGGCTGGGAGAGGGGTGACAGGTGTGATGTGCTGCAGGGATGGGAGAGGAGTGATAGGAGTGATGTTCTGCAGGGCTGGGAGTGGGGTGATAGGTGTGATGTGCTGCAAGGATAGGAGAGGGGTGATAGAAGTGATGTTCTGCAGGGCTGGGAGTGGGATGATAGGAGTGATGTGCTGCAAGGATAGGAGAGGGGTGATAGGAGTGATGTTCTGCAGGGCTGGGAGAAGGGTGACAGGTGTGATGTGCTGCAGGGATGAGAGAGGGGTGATAGGAGTGATGTTCTACAGGGCTGGGAGTGGGGTGACAGGTGTGATGTGCTGCAGAGATAGGAGAGGGGTGATAGGAGTGATGTTCTGCAGGGCTGGGAGTGGGGTGACAGGTATGATGTACTGCAGAGAGAGGGGCAATAGGTCACAATGCCACCCTGCCTCCCTCCTATCACCCTTAACCCCCAATGTATGCATGGGGGTAAAGTGTATGGGGGCATTGTTTACACACAGGGTGGCAATATGTACTGATGAGAAGAGGGGGCAGTGTGTGTGGGTGACTGGGGTGGGGGATCTTTATAGAAGAGAGCAGTCGGGCAAATTCAATTTGCGCTAAATCTCAGGTTTCATCATTGTTTCTAATCAGAATCAATGAAGCCATGCCCAATATTCAATTTAGTCCAACCACGCCCACTTTTTGTTGCATTTCTCTACGTCAATGGTCTCCAAACTGTGAACGGGGGACCCCTGCTCTACGTGAACCGCTGGTTAGTGTCTCTCTAAAGCAGTGGTTCTCAACCTGTGGGTCGCGACCCCTTTGGGGGTCGAATGACCCTTTCACAGGGGTCCCCTAAGACCATCAGAAAACACATATTTCCGATGTGTAAAGAGCAGCTACTGTGTAGAAAGCAGCTGCTGTGTTGAAAGCAGCAGTATTGAAGGTAAAACGACACTCATGAATTATAATTACTGGGTAAATAATTTTATGGTTGGGGGTCACCACAACATGAGGAACTGTATTAAAGGGTCACGGCATTAGGAAGGTTAAGAACCACTGCTCTAAAGTGTCCCTCACTCACAGGTCCTAAAACTGTGAGGTATGATCCCACTGATAATAGTAAGCCAAAGCTAAATTTGCCTAACAAATGGAGCTCCACTGAATACTATAGGCCAGAACTAAATTTACCTAATCCCAGCATCTGTCCAGGAGGATGCTACATGAACACTGTATGTAGTGACTGAGGTAAAATTCTCTTCACATTTTGATGCTCGGAACTTATTCATTTACACAAGCCCCTGGTATTACAATGTCTTCTGAAGCCTCCGATTAATAACAAAGCCACTAGTGCCTTTGAGCACAAATCTTCCCAGTCCATGTTCAGAGACCACATAATAAAACGCAGCACTACAATATCTGTAAGAAATACACACAAATTACTTTGTGCATTCTCCAATAAATAAAAACTCAAATAAAGTGTATCCAGTGTCCAATGTTCAATACATCAACTAATTGTGACGACAGAAGAACAGTCCCAATGTTCAAATGATTAAAGTGTCCACCATTGAACACTGGGACTGTTCTTCTGTCATCACAATTAGTTGATGTATTGAGCACTGGACACTGGATACACTTTATTTGAGTTTTTATTTATTGGAGAATGCACAAAGTAATTTGTGTGTATTTCTTACAGCTAATGTAGCACTGTGTTTTATTATGTGATTCTTGAGCTATGGTGGTGTATCTACTTATATTGCAAGCAGCTACTTATTAATATTATTATTTTTTTTGTTTAGCGCTGACTTTATACACTTGATACACTATGTTCAAAGACGTCATATACCAGAAGTTCCTATGCCATGAATTTGGCTCATTGAAAACACCACTACACACAAAATAAGCAGAGTAAAACTTTTGCTCCAGTGAAATGTTCATTTCCCAATAACACAGACTACAGTACATTTCTAATATACTCTGTACAACAAAGACTATGAAATTCAAGCTGAGAAGTATTGTAGTTTATTTATACGGCTGTTCACTTTAAATGAATTATTGAGGAGGAAACCCAGGATGAATAATCTTGTGTTCCAGTCTAATGACACTTGTCAGACACTCCACACAAATCACTGAACAATTAAGGCTGCTAATGAAATGTTACCCAGAAATACTATTCTTAGGTCTAGAGTACTGGCCTTCTGACAATCAGATTGTATAGTTCTCATACTATATAAAGTGTACAGATCATTGACAGTGGGAGGAATTATACTGGGATTTTATATTGCACATAACAAAATTACACTTAAAGGGTCAGTTCATCTTTTTTAAAACTATTTCCCTGCAAAGTGACATAGCACTGTGCAGTATGAGAAAAATGTTTGCTTTCATCTGACTCACCCTAAGTAAAACTGCACCTTCCACTGTTCACATATTAAAAAGCCGCACTGCCATTCTGCCTTCCGTCCCTGTTTAACCACTAGCCTACAGGGCACTTATACCTCCTTCCTGCCCAGGCCAATTTCTAGCTTTCAGCGCTGTCACACTTTGAATGACAATTGCGCGATCATGCAACATTGTACCCATATGAAATTTTTATCATTTTTTTGTTTTTTCTTAGTTGTTATAAAATTTTGTAAATAAGTGATTTTTCTCCTTCACTGATGTGCGCTAATGAGGCTGTATTGATGGGCACTGATAGGCTGCACTGATGGACACTGATAGGTGGCACTGATGGGCACTGATGAGGAGGCACTGGTAGGTGGCACTGATGGGCATTGACAGGCATCACTGATGGGCACTGAAAGGCAGCACTCATATATGGCAATGATAGGCAGCACTGACTGGCACTGACAGGCGGCACTGACTGGCACTGTTAGGTGGCACTGACTGGCACTGTCAGGTAGCACTGGCGGGCACTGATAGGCGGCACTGATGCGCACTGATAGGCAGCACTGACTGGCACTGATAGGCGGCACTGATTGGCAGCACTGACAGGTGGCACTAACTGGCATTGATAGGTGGCACTGACTGGCACTGATGGGTGACACTGAAAGGCAGTTCAGATGGGCACTGATATGTGGCATTGATGTGCACTGGTAGGCACTGAAATGTGGCACTGATGGGCACTGGCATGTGGCATGGATGAGCACTGACAGCTGGCCTGATGGACACTGACAGATGGCACTGCTGGGGCTACACTAATCATCAGGGCACACTGATCATCAGTGCTATTATGATCAGTGTAGATGTCCCCTCCAAGGAATGCCGATTACCGTCTCTCCTCTCGAGCTGTCAGCGTGACAGCTCGTGAGGAGAGAAATGCCGATAACCGGAATTTCCCTGTTTACATGTGATCAGCTGTGATTGGACACAGCTGATCACATGACCAAGCCAACATCTTCGGCTCTTTCCGTGGATCGGTGATCCGCTGTGTCCGAGGAACACAGCGCACTCCCAGAGCCTCGCATGCGTGGTTAGAATGGGAGGACGTCATATGGGCTAGGACTCTTCATAAACCCTTGTCCATAAACATGAGTATAAGAAATGTTGCCAGGGGTTTCCCTTGGCAAGACACCCCCAATGTTGAGGGCATGTGGTCTGGTATGGTTCAGTAGGGGGGCACACACTTCCCTCTCCCCCTTTCCTGGCCCCACAGGCTGCTTGCTCAGATAATTGTCTGGGATATATTTGTGGGGGACCTCACAGCTTTTTTTTCTCATTTTTTGCACGGTGTTAACCCTTAAAATCCATACCTAACTCATTTTTGTGTTGTCCCCTTAAAACCTATACCTGACCTAAGGGACCTTGCATGCTTCTTCTTTTTCTTTTTTTTTTACACAATCAGCTCTGCTTTTTTACATTAACCTGCCAGTCAGGAATCCCCAGCTGAGGGCTTAATATGCCAGGCAGACAGTTTGCATCCAGGGCCAGGAAGACCCACTGGGTCTTCCTGGCCCTGTAATCTGAATAATAGTTACTTATACTCATGTTTATGGACAAGGGTCTCTTACCCACAGTCCTGGCCCAGTGGGTAAAACCTTACAAAACCTTACAATTACACCACATTCACATATATATGTGCAGAAGGACCACCACTGGGTACATACAGTGCTTTTGGTTAAGATGGCCACTGCCGTCCTGAGACCAGAAGCTGGCTTGTGCTCCGGGTTTGACACACAACTATGCTAATATCGTGTGTCATAAAATGCTGACGATACAATTCTATGACTTTTTATAATAACAAATGGGATCCTTGGTTGGAACATGGCAATGTATTTCATTGATACCTTAGATATTTTTGTGGTCTCCATGTTGAACCTTTTTTAATGTTATTCAATCATTATATGATTCGGCTATGTCACTCTATGTTGAAATTGTTACTTTATGTTGGTAATACGGTCTTTATGTAATTCATTTGCCTTACCTTTTATATGTCAGAAGACGTTATTCTCCATATGTCAGTTAATTATCTTGTAGCTTCATCAGGTTTATTTTTTATAATGGCATATGTTTCCACCTATTTCTACCCAATAAAAGTTTGTAAACAAACAATAAAAAAATACCACTATTTTAATCTACACAGCTTTCAGAAAATAGATAACGTTTTAGTGGTTTTTACTAATCCCCAAGCCTAAAATGTGCACTTTAACATGTGTGCAATAAACACTAATTAGGTTCTGGCAGCAAAAGTTATATTGAGAAAAATTTGTTGCCTTCTGAAAATGAATGTTATAGCAATACAGTGGCATCTATACTTTCTTATCCAACTGGCATTTACAGGAGGAGATTAGAAATGGCAGCCCATGTATTTCTCTCAGCACAGGTTTAATTAAAAGGATAAGTTCATCTTTGGGAACACGTTACATATTCCACCTGTATTTAGGGTGGAACATGTAACATGTTCCCATTGCTGTAGCTGTTGCCCCCCCCCCCCCGACACATAATACGGGGAGAAGTTTCTACGTACTATCTGTCAGATTTGAAAACAGCGTGGCCGTGCGGGGCTCTGCCCACATGGCCACGCCATTCATTCACGAACTTCCATGAATAAATGAACTGCCAGCCTCGACAGCCTTAGTGGCCGTGGGCTTGTAGTTTTCAATGAACTACGACGGCACTGTGGAAAACCGTGGCAGTTCATTGAAGCTTCCGGTCAGAATATCTACTTGGCTGTACATCCCTGTACAGCAAGCAAATATTCTGACAGGTATGCAGGAGACCTGCATGGCATCAGCAACCTACTGATCCCTGGTGCAATGCTTTCCAGGCGCCTTTGGACAAAAATAATAAATGCACATTTTTTTACCTGCAAAAAAATGTGCATTTATTATTTTTTTCCAGAAAGATGAATTTATCCTTTAAGCTCCTCTAAATGCAGATTGTACACAGTCTATAATACATTCCAAGTTATACTGCAAAAAATCACACAGCCCATAGATGTGTAAACTTAACACAGGGACACTGAGTCAGAGCAGATCCAAAAATGACTATATAATTATTATTCGTTATACACTGAAATTCCAGACAGAATAGGGTTGTACACATGCTGTGGACCCAAAATTTTGCTTTGCAGCGTGGCAAAAATTATACCCCAGATGGCGTTTTGCCACCAAAGGTGATCCATTCAAGTGAATGGGGCCGTGCCGCAACCATGAGCCAAACGCTAGGCATGTAGTTGCAACGCAGTATCACCTCCTGAATACCTGACAGCCACACTTGTGCTGCTCTTTGAAAAGCAATCCAGGTGTAAATAAGCCCTAAGGGAGGCTGTGTCACAAAGCAATTTACAATTCTATATAAGTTCTAATTGAAGTGTCTATTATGTGACCCATACAGGACATACTTGTTGCTAGGTAGAAATACCTTAAATGATGAATGTACTACTTTGGCGCTGTCATGTGACAGCACATGGCTGATACCATCAAAGCCGTATTAGCCCTGGAAGCATCCATAGTAGAGTTGGATCTCCCCATAGGGAAATGGAAACGAATAGTAGTAAAAGGCTTCCTCTGTACCCTCTTAATACTCCTTCACGTGTCCTGAGCTGTGAAAAAACGTTTTACACCCTTCTGCATTCTGACTACAGTGAATGGCTCCATTCTACGATACCTTTCGTAATTAATGTATAACTTTGGTCATAAAATTAAGTCCTGCTAGATCACGTTAGTCTGGCCCCCCATTTTGCAGGTAAAGTTATGTAAAAAATCACTATTAAAAAATAAGTGTCTATACTGCTTAAAACCCAGAAATACACTATCACTTTGCTCTGCACATGCTCAGTTGCTCTCTATTTTTTGGCACTGCCAAAAATGTAAGAGGAGGATCTGCTGATAGCCTGAAGAGAGCAGAGAGAACCATTGCTGCAGCCTATGAGTGTTTACTGCCTGTCACAGACTGCTGTGATAGCCAGCCCCCAGTGTAAATGATCACTTCTCCAGTGTAGTAAAAATAAACAATGCAGCCAGCACCTGTCACTTGTCCCAATGTCACCAGTGCTCATGATAACACCGCCATACACCATACACCATACCAACGCCATATGCCATACCAGCACCCTGCTCACCGCCACACGCCATACCAGTGTTCTGATCACCTCCATACACCATACCAGCATCCTAATCACCCCATATTCCATACCAGCGTCCTGATCCTTGCCATACCCAGTACCAGTGTACTGATCACTGCCATACTCCATACCAGCGTCCTGATCATTGCCATACCCCATATCAACATCCTGATCACCGCCATACTCCATTCCAACATCTTGATCACCCCATAGGCCATACCAGAATCCTGATCATTGCCTTACCAATGTCCTGATCACTGCCATACCCCATACCTGCATACTGATCACTGCCATAAGTCTTACCAGCGTCTAGAATTTAAGGATCCCAACTGATCAATTTTCAAATATATATCCCGTAGTTTGTAGACTCTATAGCCTTCACACAGAGTAAATTATATGCTCTGTTTTGGGTTATTTTTAACCCAAAACAGTATATTAAACATTATTTTCAAAAACATTTGAAAATAATGTTTTTAATTTCGAAATTTTCAGTATTTTTTCATTTATATAGCAAAAAAAACCCAGTGGTGATAAAATACCACCAAATAAAAGCGTTATCTATCTCAAAAACATGATGAAAATTTAATTTGGGTACAGTGTTGCATGACTAAGTAATTGTTGCTCAAAGTGTGACAGCGCTGAAAGCTGAAAAAATTGGCCTGGACTGGAAGGGAGCAAAACTGTCTGGACTTGAAGTGGTTAATAAAACTGCAACACTGCAGGATCAGCAATGCTGCTGTTTGCCAAATACCACTTTAACGATCATTGTTCTGTGTCAGTACAGGTATTAGCCGGAGCCTTGGCTTCCTTTTGATTCTGCTTTTCGATGCATGCAAACTGGAAAACTCAAAAGTATAAAAGAAAATGAAAAAAAGCTTTAGGCTGAAAAGGATTAAAAAAAAATCTGTTAGATTCCAGCACAGGTCCAATATACAGTAGATATCAACTGACTCTCACAAAGCGCTAAACATGACTAGCAGCAGATTTACATACAGCAACAATAGCAGAAAAATTATGTGATCTTTCTACAAGTCTAATGTAACAATATATCTAATCTGTGTAGCCTAACAGTGAAAGTCAGCCGTCAGTCACAGGCCAAGATGTAACAGTCATTCCTGTGACAGCATACGGTATCCTGTAAACAAACCACCCCCCTGTCCTCACTTGTTTAATTGAACCATAAAGCAGCGAACATGTGTGCCGTGCCTGCACAAGTCATTTGCTTTCTAATTAGCATCAGGGCCACCTACCTAGGGAGGTAGTAAACTGTGAGTTCATGCAATGTTAATGGTGAACAATTGAGAGGAAAGCGCAGCTGCTGCAGACAAGCTTTGACACTGCTAAGGAAGATCATAAGAGACCCGGTGAGCCCAGATCAATCATGCAAAGCACAAAAAAGATGTCAAGAATAAACTCCTGCAAAATGCACCAGATTTTTGCATTGCTGGAGAAACAAATGGTTCCCCCCTCCTCCACAGCAGCTCTGCTTGAGAGAAACATTTTAGTTCACCGAGAATGCAAGTCACAGGAGAATAGCAATTACAAAGATCCGCGGCAGCTGAGCCCTTTCATTCTACCTCGGTTGTGCAGTTTCTTTTTCACTCGCTACTGCTGGGAAAACCTCAACTCTCCAAGCCACATAAAAACCACTTCTACCCAAGCTGCATCCAACCCAGCAGGGATCCTGGATAGATGAATGATGATAATGTATGATTTAATATTTCAGTACAACAAACACAGCATTTCCTTTCACAAGACCATTTGTGATCAACAGTCACAGAGACTGATTTGTGGGATTGGATGTCCACTGTCCAGTACATTGCTTTCTCTGATCAGATCAGACAGAGGTGTGGAGCTACACTATGCAATTTATAGAGCAATGCCACACGGACAATCTCGACTCAAATCACCAGCA